GGAAGTTGAAGGGAAATGAGAATATTTTGATGAATGAAAACGCATCTGTGGTTTTACAAAGGAAACTTCCACCCAAATGCAAAGATCCCGGAATGTTAACGGTTCCTTGCAAGATTGGAGATGTCACTTTTAGTAGTGATATGCTTGATCTTGGTGCCTCTATCAATGTCATGCCCTATTCGGTGTATGGATTATTAAATGTCGGACCCTTAAGTGAAACCGGTGTCATAATCTCTCTTGCGGATAAATCAAGTGTCTTTCCTAGAGGTGTTTTGGAATATGTCCTAGTGCAAGTGAACCAATTGGTCTTCTCGGTGGATTTCTATGTGATTGATCTAGATGAGAAAGTGTCCTCTAAATCGGCTCTAATCTTGCTTGGGAGACCGTTTTTGAAGACGGCTAGGACGAAGATCGATGTGTATGCGGGAAGCTTGGCAATGGAGTTTGATGGCGAAACAATAAGTTTTAATATTTATGATGCCATGAGATATCCCAGTGATGTTTCATCTTTGTACTTTGTTGATGTTGTCGAGCCAATTACTCAAGAATTGTTTGAGTTATCTAACGGTGATATGTTGGTGATGATCTTAAGCAAAGGATTTGATTGTGGGAGGCTAGCCGAGCAATTAAAACTTTATTCTTTGGATCCGGAAGTTGAGAAGTTGGTAAATAAAATGGAGATGAAGAAATCCACAAGATTAGATGTCAAGAAAATTGAATTGCCCCCAACTCATACAAAATTATCTCCATCCCTTGTTCAATGACCCGAATTGGAATTGAAGGTCTTACCTCAACACTTGAAGTATGCCTACTTGGGAAAGAATGAAACCCTTCCGGTTATCATTTCAACTCACTTAACCAAATTTTAAGAAGAGCAACTCCTCAAGGTGTTGAAGGAGCATAAAGAAGCCATGAGTTGGAAGATTGCGGATATTAAAGGATTGAGTCCCTCCACTTGTATGCACAAGATCTTAATGGAGGATGAATGCAAGCCAAGCCGGGACGCACAAAGAAGGTTGAATCCGCCAATGATGGAAGCGGTCAAGAAAGAGATTTTGAAGCTCCTAGATGCGGGGATGATCTATCCAATCTCGGATAACAAGTGGGTAAGCCAGGTGCAAGTCGTTCCAAAGAAGACGGGAATCACGGTGGTCGAAAACAACAAAGGTATGATGGTCCCCACCCGTGTGCAAAACGGGTGGAAAGTATGTATTGACTACCGTAAGCTCAATGCAAGCACACGAAAAGATCATTTCCCATTTCCTTTCATCGACCAAATGTTAGAAAGGTTGGCCGGGAAATCTCATTATTGTTGTCTCGACGGGTATTCCGGTTTTCACCAAATCTCGGTGGCACCGGAAGACCAAGAAAAGACGACATTTACATGTCCATTTGGTACTTTTGCATACCGGAGAATGCCATTTGGATTGTGTAACGCCCCGGCCACTTTCCAACGTTGTATGGTTAATATCTTTTCGGAATACGTTGAAAACATAATTGAGGTTTTTATGGATGATTTCACGGTATATGGCAACTCTTTTCAAGAATGTTTGACTAATCTCACAAAAATTTTAAAAAGATGCATTGAAACAAACTTAGTTTTGAATTTTGAGAAATGTCATTTCATGGTGAGTCAAGGTCTCATTTTGGGTCACATTGTGTCTAAAAAAGGAATTGAGGTAGATAAGGCCAAAGTTGATGTTCAAAGTTTACCTTACCCGACTTGTGTTCGGGAAGTTCGTTCTTTTTTGGGCCATACAGGTTTCTACCGAAGGATCATCAAGGATTTTTCAAAGATAACAAGACCAATGTGCCAAATCTTGCAAAATGAGGTTGAATTTGAGTTCAATGAGGCGTGTAAAGAAGCTTTTGACAATCTCAAAGAGTTGCTTACATCCGCTCCCATCATACAAGCACCAAATTGGGATCTCCCCTTTGAAATCATGTGCGATGCAAGCAACTATGCGATAGACGCCGTTTTGGGTCAAAAAAATGGGAGGGTCTCCCACGTCATCTATTATGCATCAAGGACACTAGAAAATTCTCAAAGCAACCACTCTACCACGGAGAAGGAGTTATTGGCCATAGTGTTGGCTTTGGAGAAGTTTCAGCAATATCTACTTGGCACCAAAGTTATAGTGTATTCGGATCATGCGGCTCTCAAGTACTTGATGACAAAGAAGATGCAAAACCGAGACTCATCTGGTGGATCCTATTGTTACAAGAATTGGACTTGGAAATCCGGGACAAGAGCAGATGCGAGAACCTCGTTGCCGATCATCTAAGCCGGATCACTTCAAATGAAACTCCTCTCCCGTTGCAGGACGAGTTTCCGGATGAGCATCTCTTTTCCCTTACTCAATATATTCCTTGGTATGCCGATATCGTTAACTTTTTGGTCACAAAAAGGTATCCCGACACATTCACACATGCTAAAAAAGACAAGCTCAAAAGTGATGCAAAATACTATGTGTGGGATGAGCCTTATTTGTGGAAACATTGTCCTGATCAAATCATTAGGCAATGTGTACCCCAACAAAAGCATCAATCTATTTTGCAATTATGTCATGAATTTGCTTGTGGGGGACACTTCGGACCTAGCCGAACCTTGAGAGAAAGGTTCTTGAATGTGGACTATTTTGGCCAACCATGTCACGCAACTGTTATTTGTTTTGCAAAAGTTTGAACGGTGTAAATGACGGGAAACATTTCTCAAAAGAACCAAATGCCCCAAAATCCAATCCTTGTTTGTGAAAATTTTGACGTATGGGGGATTGATTTCATGGGTCCATATCCTGTCTCATTTGGCAACGTTTATATTTTGCTCGCGGTTGACTATGTTTCTAAATGGGTTGAGGCCAAAGCCACAAGATCGGATGATGCCAAAACGGTTATCGAGTTTTTAAAATCTAATGTATTTGTGAGATTTGGTGTACCTAGGGCTTTGATAAGTGATAGAGAGACGCACTTTTGCAACAAAATGATGGAGGCCTTATTGAAAAAGTACAACGTGACCCATCGTGTCTCCACCGCCTACCACCCTCAAACGAATGGTCAAGCGGAGGTCTCGAATCGTGAAGTGAAGTCTATTCTAGAGAAAACGGTGAATCTGAAAAGGAAGGATTGGAGTTTGAGACTTGATGATGCCTTATGGGCCTATCGGACCGCTTATAAGACCCCGATAGGAATGTCACCCTTCAGATTGGTTTTTGGAAAACCATGTCATCTTCCCGACGAATTAGAGCACTGCGCATTTTGGGCGGTCAAGCAATGTAATTTCAACATTGACGAGGCGGGAAGACATAGGAAACTTCAACTCCAAGAGCTAGAAGAATTGAGAAACGACTCCTATGAAAACGCAAGGATTTACAAGGAGAAAACGAAGCTCTTCCACGACAAGTCCATCACCCGGAAGCATTTTGAACCGGGGCATAGGGTCTTACTATATCATTCATGATTGAAGTTCTTTCCAGGCAAGCTAAGGTCAAGATGGATTGGACCTTTTGTTGTGATAAAGACCTTTGACCATGGGGCAGTGGAAATTCAAAGCGAAAAGATGGGACAAATTTTCAAAGTCAATGGGCACCAGTTGAAGCCATTCTATGAAGGTTTCAGTGCTAATTCCCTTGAGATCATCCATTTGGATGTCCCGATGTGTTGAAGAAAGCTAGGAAGATGTCTCGCCAAAGACGTTAAAGAAGGGCATTTTTGGAAAGCAATGTGCTTTCACCATTTTTCAAATTCAAATAAATCATTTTGCAAAGCGTTTTTTTTGGGATTCAAATAAATTTTTGAAAGGTTTCACCAATCGTTCCCCGTTTTACTCCAAATTTTGTCAAATTTTTTATATCGGGCCTTAAGGGGATCGTTTTGGCTTAAAAATCAAGTTTTTTTTTTGGAAAAATCTCATTTTTGATGTGCAGGCATACCCGCGGCCCGCGTAAGATGCATGAAGGATTACCTGTGGCCCGCGTAGGTCAAAAGATCCAATTGTCATTTAATACCCGCGGCCAGCCAGCGGCCCGAGCCCAACCCGCGTGAAAGATCAGAGTTTTTCTCAACAACTAGACGCGGCCTACCCGTGACCCGAGCCTTGCCCGTGTAGAAGATTCGAGCACTTAGAATTTTTTGCCCCTTTAGTACCCGCGGCCCGAGCCCAACCCGCGCGTAATGATCAGAAAATCAGTACAATTTTTGGAACTAGACGCGGCCAGCACGCGGCCCGTGCCCTGCCCGCGTGTTGGTCGTTTGACTGATTTCTTGGAGCTGTTGACCGCTTTAACTTTTGTTGACCAAGGGGTTTAATGAGTTGACCAACATTGACCCGGGTTTGACCCTTCTTGACCATAGATTAAACTCCTCCTGCCTTCTTCTTCATCATTCAAACTCTACAAATTCCTCCATTCTCTCTCTAGAAGCTCAAGAACACTAAACCCACTTCTCACAAAAATCCATTTTCCCGGAGTTCTATCGATCGGAATCTCGTGAAACCACCGCCATTCTTTGCCATTTTTCACCCTCTACAAACCCCACCCAAATTTCGGTCCGATCTGTGGCCGGAATCCCGGGCGCCACCACCACCCATGACCACCTTCTTTCGCGTTTTCTGGCCAACTCCAGCCACCATTGGAGATTCCGAGCACGGGGTTTTGTTTCTCTCCTCAAGGGATTTCTAACCATACCAATCTTTACGCAAAAACTCACGAAAAATTTCCATCGAATTCTGGGTGCCGCCACTCCATTCGCTGGGAAGTCATCTTGAAACTCGTTTGTGGGGTTGTTTTAGCAATTAAAGCGTCAGATACAGAGCAAAATTGCAAGCTTGGGATATGTCTTGACGAAATCTTTTTGGTGGCACTAGTTCATCCCGGGTCTAGGAAATTGGGTAATTTCACTCCTTTCACTTGATTATTTACACCTCAATTTCCCATTTGTTGTTGGTATTGTGTGCCTTTGTTGTGGCTTGAGAGTTATTATTGGTAGAATTTTGTCCCAAATAAATGTCTAAACGTGCAAAGACGGGGACGGGAGCTACTTCCTCTAAAGGAGGGTCAAAAGGAAAATCCAAGGATCCCCCGTTTCGTTTGTTGAATCGTGAGGACCGTCAAACTTATGATTTTATCGTTTTAAATAAGCGTCAAGTCAAGTCAACAAAATTCCTCCATAGGGAATCTTTTGCTAGTCTTGGGGTACTCGATGGAGTCCAAGCGTTATTTAACAACATCGGGTGGGGTCAATTCCTCTATAACCGCGCCGCCACCTATGTTGAACCCACCTTGGAATTTCTTGCCACATTCTATCCCGAGGAGGAAGCCCAAACCGTCACCTTCCAAATTCTCGGTGAGAAACGATCCCTACCGAATCGGGTCGTGAGCGCTTTGATGGGTGCTCCAGTGGACAACCTATATTACCAACAAGACCCATGGCCCGGAAACTTCAATGAACATTACTTTTGGCAACAAATTACCAATGAGCCGCAATATTCATCGTCTTCGTCAAAGGCCTCCTCCATAATTCACCCATGTTTGCGCCTAGCGCATCGAGTTCTCACATGCACCATTTTTTCCCGCTCCGAAGTGGGACAAATTTCAAAGGCGGAATTATTTTTTCTTTGGTGCATGACTCGTGAGAACGGTCTGCGGCCGGATTTTGCCTCCTTTTTCTTCACCAAGTGTTACAACCTCAAAACTATGGACAAATGAGACATTTTCATTGGGGGATTGATCACCCTCATTGCATCTCGGCCACCGCTTCAACTTCATCTCTCTACTCTTCCATTCGAGAAGGCTTCCTTCCCCTCTAGCCTTGACGGACACGCACTTCGCCGAATGCAACTCATCCGGCATTCGGTCGTCGGTCCCATGTGGATTCTTGACAACCAACCATACCTCATTCTCCCCTATGAGTATATAGGAAGTTTTGATCCGACCGATCCTGAGAAATGGATCATTCCATCAGACTACCCTCCACCTGTAGATGATGAGGATGACCAGTTTCAGCCTGCACAACAATTCACCGAGCCTCAGTTTCAGCAGCAGCAACAGGGGGGACACGAATGTTCTCCACGGTGCATCGTATCGACACCCAAACGCATGAGAATACGAGAGACATCCAAGATGTGGCGAGTTGCGTTGATCGATTGGAGCAGTCATTCCCTCCCACTTCCCGCCAGGTCCAAGATATGTGGGACTACCATTAACGCCACAGGCATTTCCCGCCGCCCGACCCTCCGATTTAGGTCCTTTACGCCCTTTCCTTAAGCATTGAGGACAATGCTTGTTCTTAAGCTTGGGGTGGGGCATTTCCCTTATCTTTTAATTTTTCATGCATTTTTATCTAGGTTGCATAACATTTTAGTATTAAACTAATTTTCATTCATTTTTTTTTATTTATTTAAAACTTCATAAAGATTTTATTTTCTTCTTTTTCACCTTTTATATTTTTGCATAACATTTAGCCTAAGGCATTAGCATTCATGCATTTTTGTTGTCTGTTTATTCTCACCTCTATTGGATGCCATGGAACAAGTTCACAGTTATTGTATCATTATTGGTCCAGGATCTTGTTGCTATCTCACCCATCGAATCGGGACCACTAGCTGCAATTTGGGATTTCATACTTCGGATCAGATGCTGGTAGCTTAAAGGGGTAACTGATCATGGCCAGTTAGTTTCATGAAAAATTATGCATACAATACTAACAACTGTAGGATATACTATAGCAATGGATGTTCTTAGCCTTGCGGTCACTACCGCGGAGAGGATCACACTTGATCATGCTTGAACTGTTAGGATGAAGCATTAGTGCTTGTCCCCGAGTAGAATCCATATCCGGTCTCTTTACATCACCATATCTTTTTGCGATTTTCTTAGAATTTTAGAGAGTCTTTTAGTCCACATTTGGACATTTTCATTATCTTTGAAAAACCACAAGTTTGAAAAGGAGCTTACATTACATCTTTATACTCCACACATGATCATTTTCACACTTAGGCCATTCAGATTATATCATTACCCTTTCGGTTCCACTTACACACCTTTGGGAATTTTCTTGTTAAAAATTTCGATTGTTAATACATTACCTTCATGTATTTTATCAAAAAAAAAATCAAAAAAATCAAGAGAAAAAAAACAAAAAACAAAAAAAAAAAAAAAAAAAAAAAAAAAAAAAAAAAACAAAAAACAAAACAAAGAAAAAAGAAGCATGCAAATTTTCAATTGCAGCTATCTTAGATAGGTGGCCGGTTCAATTATTGAACAAATTTCCCAACATCTTGGTCACCCGGCGTTGGATATTCATTTGTATAGGTCTGTTTTATTGTATATAGATCGAGTTGTTTTTTTTCTCGCAAATTGGTGATGTTAGGCAGACTGTCGAGTCGGATACTACGGGAGGTTTAGGCCAACACTAAGTGAACCGATTCCTACAACGGTACCCGAGCGATTAAACCTAGTTACACATGAGAGAAACCGTCAGATGTGAGATCAGAGTGTGCACTTAAAGAAGAGCTCCACCTGAGCCCATCCAGTTGCTTTCTCCCTACTACAGATGTTCTTCAATGTATGCATGTTCCAATGAGGCTGCGACTGCTCATCCCTCCTTACTCACCTAAAGGAGTTGTCCTGGCTGAGGTTTATGGTTCCATTGTCATCAGATGAAAAAGTTGTGAGATAGCAGCAAGATCAATTTTGACCATGTTGACTAACGTCGAACAGGTTCCATGGTTCTATCCATTCTTTTTATTTCTAGGGTAGTTCGTCCCAAGTTCATTTTAGTCTTGTCTTACTTGAGGAGAAGTAAGGTTTAAGCTTGGGGTGATTTGATAGCTTCATTTTATTTACTTCTTTTTATAGGTTTTTTTAGCACATTCCATTCGCATTTTAGTTAATTTCCATGCATATTTTCCTTTTTGTTATTTTTATGACCATTTCGGGTACTTTCTAGTTTCTTGATCATTATTGCAGATTTTAAGGAAACTAGCAGAGCGGGACTTTTGGGAGGCGATTGGAGTTGAAGAGCAATGGGGATTTTGTGCTTGATGGCTATGGAGGTGATTCATGGAGTGGGCTTGTCGATTGCTTGAAGGCGCAGAAGTGTTGAACTTTAAATTTGAAAGGGCGCGAGAGAATTCTTGAGTGTTCAAGATCGATGTTTAAGAGTTTGCGGAAGTTTTGAGTGATGTGGAAAGACAAATTAGGCTTTAATTGAAGAAATATTGAAGAAAAATGGACTAGGAACTGATTGGATCCAAATTGGGCCAATGGATTAGCTTTAGGGGCCCAAAAGGAAGCCCAAAAATCCCATCGAAGCCCGCGGCCCGCGTAAGATTACCCACGACCCGCGTGGATTCCTGACAAGGGCAATTTCGGGATTTTGCTAAGAGCTCTATATTGGGAAGGTTGGTGTGCCTTTGTAGCCTCATCTTGAAGGTCCAAGTTTGACTTGTTCTCTCTGGAGTTTGGAGTGCTTTTGAAGGCCAAGAACACCTCAAGAACATCTTGATTTCACCTCTTGATTATTGTAAAATGTTTGGTACAATCTCATCTAACTTTTCTTCTTTGAGTTTAGTCATGCTTGGCTAAACAAATCTTGGTTGATTTCTTGTTGAATCCTTTGAACTTTTGTTGAATGTTGAAGAATCCATGAACTTATTCTTAAATCTTTATGGAAATGTTTTGTCTTTTATCATTTTGTCACTACTAGTATGTTTTTATTCATGAGTTTAAATGTGTTTGTGGTGATTAGGTGGCTAATTTCTTGATTAAGTAAATGATCCTCAAATTAGCAAGCAACAAATGATAGTGAAAGCAATTGAAAGCAATTGACTCCTCTTCGATTTGGTGACTTCTCGGTTCTTAATGCTAGTTGACTTTCACTAATTACATGCTATTTGGAATTAGTGACTTTGACTAAGGAAATTATTATGAGCTTCTCTAACCATTTCAACAATTAAGAAAAGTCTAGGTAATCTCAAGCTTCTTAGATTACCATAGCCAAATTAAGGATTTAAATCAAAGTATTGCACCATTGGATTCTAATTATATGTTTATCAAAAGTCAAAGTGGGGAAACTTTAAGTCAACCATTTCTCCCTTATTGATTTTACATCAAATCCTTATTTTTATTGAAATCATCTATTTAAATCATAGTTAACTCTAGCTTGTTTCAAGTATTTCAAAACACCAAAACACCAAAACACCCCATTTTATTTTTATTGTTATTTCACAAGTATTTTTACAAAGATATTTTTTCATATAGTTATAAATTGAACCAATCTCCGTGGATTCGATCCCTTTACCGCTATACACTATTTTAGTGTGTAATATTTAGGGTTATTATTTATGTTGGCCTCGACAACCACCAGATACTTGAAAGAATAAGCTAGTTAGCACAAAATCAATTATCACTCTCTTAGAATAAATGAGGCAACCGATTTTGGTACTAAGGGGTTCCTTTTATAGTGTTACAAAGGCTAGGGTTACATCCATGCAAACCCTAATGCACCATGAACTTTCATATTACTTAGAATCCATGGGTTAAACCTCCATGGACTATCACATTAGTTTAGCCCATCTTAATTAACTACAGATCATTGGCACACACTATAAGAATCATTAAGTTACTTAATCAATCCCCGTATATTCAATTAGTCTCTTTTGATCACAAAGTTAATTCCAAATTAATTCTTGATCAATACTAATTAAATAATATGATTTCTCAATTATTATATCATACTTATAATATATTAATAAATCCCAAATAGCCTTATTCTAAAAGTACATCCTATCAAATTGCATTGGTGAAGGCAACCCAAAAGGACCATGCTACTATCGGGTCAAGTACATTCCAGTTATAGTTATGGGCTTAGAAACCTAATCCAATAGTCTCCCACTTGGATAAGTCTAATAACTGTAACTACCAATGCAACTTCAGAACCCGACTTAGCAATCGTAGCTTTCAAAATCCACTGTCAAACTCTGAGCTAGTCAGTGACGCGTACTTTAGATAAGGGATCATATATTCATTTGTTATTCAAGATATCATGTGGAAAAATACATGGAACATATTCATACTTATTGTCCTGTAGTTTGTTTCCCGATTTCTGATTTGTCTAACATAGAACATAACTGAACACATCAATTTAGTTTTGGCCGAGCCCGACACATATGTCAAAACAAATCATCTAGGGGTCCAAGGTACTACTTTTAATCCTATTAGGATAAAAGGAACAGATAAAATTTGTTATATTCTTATACTAACTACTCATTAAATCATACACAATGATACATTTTATAACATCAAGTTATTGATGCGTTTTTTGTATCATGAATGCACAACCAACTCGTAGTCAACAACTCATATATCTTAGTTTGAAGACTATATGATATTATCGTCTCACAATCACTCATGATAAATTCCATGAAGTGATTAATGTGAGCGTGGGTTTAATCCAATACACAAATCTTATTTCAAGAGTACTCATGAATGCTATAGTAGACTTTTGCTATGTCTAATGCCTTAGACAATCTACAAGCCAACTTATGACAATCTAGCCTCATAACCTACTTCCAAAGTATGATCAACTGTGGATAGTTTGAATAATCTTATTATTTTGGATGTCAAAACATGCAAAAGTGAAACAATAGTAAATAATTGACACAAGACCATAACTTTACTTATAAATAAAACTCCTTTTATTTAAT